AGCAATACTGGTGTGTTTTCAGATATTAGCATTTGCCAAATAATGACCAAAGCTAACTGTAATAACTAATGAGTTGGCAAAGAGTTTCCTGTCTACACATCCTGCAGACACAGAGTAACATTAGCGTTCATTTGGAGTTGTGTTTCTGGTAACATGATCCAAGTATCTGCTTTTCTTTTATGTCTGATTTGTCTCTACTGACTCTTGGGGCAAATATAACTTTAGACACTAAATGTTTGTGTTCACCAGCTAGTTGCTAACTGTGGCTATGCAGCCTTTGGACTTGGGCAGGTCATGCACAGAGAGGTTTTTGAAAAAAAATTGATACTGAACCAAAACAGTAAAGTCATGGGTCCTTAAACCAAAACAATAAACTGAAAAATGCTAAAATGCTGTGCTGAGCTAAGTGGACTACAAAGTCTGGTGATTTCTCTGAGTTCTCTGGTGGTGAGTTATCTCTAGGTTCATCACACATTTCACATTGTCATTTGATCTATTAATACCAAAATGTTGAATAGAGTATCTTTAACATGGTACAGTATATGATTGAAAACCCAAAAATCAGGCCAGCAGTTTTCATCTTTGTACTAAAGGCAGCATGTCATGGTTGTGTGGACTCGGAGCCTTCAATTCATGGTGGTAATGGCAACATCAACATTATCAGCATGTCATGATTGTGTGGACTCGGAGCCTTCAACTCATGGTGGTAATGGCAACATCAACATTAGATGAGTGAAACCATAGCTTTGGTTATGAGCATATGGTGAGCAGTAGCCTGTTTGTGAGCTCAAGTTCTGAAGATTAGATTTGTAGACAAGATGTGATGAGACACTGATAGAAACATTCAGAGCAGCAGATTCTGCCTGGGCCAAGTCATGAGCAGCTTGTCCAGACAAGTCCTCAGTATCTAGAGGACACAACACAGGGCCTGATCCCAATCACACACTGACAACAAGCCCCTTTTTTCTACACACTTTCTGTCTTCATCCTTTTCCTGTTTCCCTGCCACCGCTATAATTTATGTCAACACTCCTTATGCTAAAATTTGACATTTTCTTCAGATGTTGGTCTTTTTCCCTGCGTTTTATGGACCTATGTGACCTGGTAACTCATGTAAAAGACCACTACTGATTATCAGGTTGATTTGCATCAGTGCAGGTCAACCCATGACTGGACTCCCAGGCTCAGCTGCAGCTGTCATGTCGAACAGTGACCCTGTGTGGAGTTCACGTCATGTGTGGGAGGCAGTGACAGACTTGTGGTTTGTGTGTCTCTGTCTGGGCTGGCCCTCACTGAGCAATCCACCACTTTGTGTGCAGCCTTTGAGCCCGTGTTTCTTTGGTGTGACTTGTGCTTTTGTGTTTAGGGGAGGGGAACCCTGTGACCTGCAGGATGCCCGTAGCCACACTGATTACATGTTTTCTGTGTCCAGCTGTTTGTCCAAGCCAGCTCCCAGAGCAATTCTCAAAATACTGAAGAGAGAGAAGGGACAAACGAGGGCACCTGATTTCCTTTTGTAATAGAAACCATTCTGAGCATTTCTCCAAAAAAGTCTTTTTATTTGTTTCCTCTCTGCTTCCTTTGGCTTTGTTTTTTATTTTTAATGCAGAAGGTTCCAGCTCAGAGAAACTTGAGGTTTCTCAATTTTGTGGTAAATCTGGAGGCTGTTACCCGATCATGCTGTAGCTCAGCCATGCCAAAAGTGCAGTGTCACTTTCGACACAAGTGTACATCCCACCCCTCCCTGCTACCACAGTTGTGGCAAAGGCAGCCAGCAGGCAGAAACCACGGCGCCCTGCCACATAAGCTGAGAAAGATGTGCTGCCCTGCACCCCCCTGTGGAAAAGGGCACTGCTCCTTGCTATGGCTCATTGATGCCACTGCCATGATCCTATAGCCAGTTTCTTTGTTTAATTTCAGAAAACCAATTTTGAATAATTTCTTCTTGTATTGCTATAGTCAGTATGCTCTTGATCTTGGTTCATTTGTTCATTGGTCATTCCACCATCTTGGTTCAGACTGAAATATCTCAACAACTATCACCATGAAATTTTTCTACAGACATTTATATTCCTCGGAGTATGAATCCCACTGATTTGTGAGTTAGATTCTGTATCTGTGGCTTTTACTGAAATGTCATAACAATTATCGGATGCATTGCCATGACATGTGGTACAAATGTCCACGGTCCCCAGAGGATTAATCTTAATGATTCTGCTGATCACTCAAGGTTTGTCCTTCTCAAGTTTTCATTGTTCCCACACAGTGGTGTTTGATGATCCCCTGGCTTATCCTTGAGTACTGCCATGAGGTTGACATTTGTGATTTTAAATTAAATATCTCCTCAACTATTAGATATGCCATGAAATCCGGTACAGAATCAACAGTAATCACTTTGATGATCCCCTGACCTTAGCTCCATAATTTGTACAACACTTCGGTGTATAATGACAAAATACCTGGAAAACATGACATTCCCATGAGTTGTACTTAGTGTTTAGTACTATTCAACAGTTGTTCATCTGCTGATATATAGAGCTGGTAGGTCTTGATCCTGACACATGATGTGTTGAGGAGAATTGTGTGCATGTGTAGGGTGGCAGGTGGCAGGTGGTAACTTATACATGGCAGAGTTTCCACAGATTGAGAAGGGGCATGGCAGATTTGTTCTAAAATACCCCAAACAACATTTTTCTCTTCCTGTATTACAAATGTTCCTGTATTATCAGTGCCTTTTAATTGCTCTGCGAGGCACCCCTCCCCTCCCACAGGCTGACAGAGTTGCCAGGATACAGACCATGAGAAGGAATTTCAGGACCTCAGTAAGTCTGTGGAGGACTCCGGCAAATGCAGGCAAACACGGCTCTGTCTTTAACAAAATGGTTCAGTACTCTAAAGTCCTATTCATCATGGAAAGAGTTTGTTTCTGGGAGAAAATAGGGAATCGGGGTGTTATAATGTGACACCTGAGCGCTCTGCACTGTCAGCAGGTGGCGCATTGATAGACAGCCTTACATGAAAATGTTCCTGCAGATCAGCTGTCCTCTCTGTGAGTGACTGTTTGTCCATCCCTTGGTGTAAATGACCAGGCTTTTCTAAATCTTTTGGTCATCAACTCTTTACAGCCTCAATGTTGGGAAATGAATGGAGGTTTGTTAGGCAGCCATGCTAGGAACACAGTTATGTGCATTTCCTCTCTAAACTTTCAAGTTTATGTCACTAAAACCTAGATTGACTGGTTTGTATAAGCAGGCGAAGGGAACAGGGTTGTTTATCCTCTGACTGACGTCATTCTGTGATTAGCTTTGGGTTTTTATACCTCCACTCTGTGTCTCACTCAAACACACACATACACAGTCTGAGTTCAGGCAGATGTTGTGGCTGACCTGAGACAAGGCCCATATGAGCTCAGTTTTCTCCCATAGGCAGCCAACACAACCAAAACCAACAACAACAAAAATACATACTGACATATGCAGATCGGATAAAAATCAATAAAACAACAAACAAGGAGGACGGTGAGATGAAAGCAGACTTAGGAGGGCAGGTGGCTGGACTTTAGCACATCTGTTACCTTGGCAGGTCTCTCTATCAAGTGCAGTGCTGAGAGGCTGAAATATGGCCAGAGAGCAGCCATGCAGGTTGCCTTCAAGCTCACTCATGTTTTTCACTTCTGGATACAAGACAGGAGAGATCTTTCATTTGTTTTTTTTAAACCACATCCCAGCTGTGATGAGGCTTTTTCTTATTTTAAGTTCTTACAACTGAATGTGTAAAGATTGGTATTTCTTCCTTTATATTCTGTCAAGAGGAATTCAAAGATTTTTAATGAAATTCCTTCACAGCTCTTTGACATTTTTGTTATTTATAAGTTGATTAGTTTACCACAATTCTCAGTAAACACTTCTGGTAAGTGTTGCACAAAACATTATGAGCTTTTCTAAATCACTTGGGAAAATGTCTGATTCAAACAGCAACTGCTTTTTCAGCCCAGAGGCCAAACTGAATTGAGATTTTGTTGCAAATGAGATTTTATTCTGTAAAAAAAACACTACTTCTGCTTGTTTTAGAGCTTATGTTACATGTTACATGTTTTTAGACTTCTTTTATTCTTGACTGTTTTTCAGAAGTAATGTGTCTGTTGCCTGATTTTTTTTATGTTTCATCTGCAACTCTTGATGTTGTCATCTTGGCCTAGTCTAACTTGCAAAAGTGGTTTCCAGTCTAAAACAGGCTCTACCTGGTTAAACCTTCAGTATGTAACTTTTTCAAATATTTTTGTTGTAGAACTATGCTCCACAACGTGTCTTAATGTGGAGAGGAGCTGTCAAAGCCTCCTGTGACCCAGACTCATTGAACAGTACTGGCAGTGCAGAGATTTTAGTTTCCAAAAGGTTTTGAGAAGGACTGACCTCTTTAAATAAGATTTAAAAAAGGAAAGTCAAAGTATTATAAGCATTAACATAACATTTCGCCATATTTCATCCAGCTTTCTTGTTTTTGATTTTGAGGCTTTGATGTCCACTTGGGCAGAATGTGTCATGTGGTGATACTGTGTCCCTGTTGCACTGAGACACCCACTCAAGACAACAACATTTGCCAGTAACAACACAGCTGTACCAGTCTGGTTGCCCCAGTGTTTCTTTTTCTACCGGTTAATTACACAGAGGGACAGCCACAGCCCTTTGAATGAATCATGTTTGGACAAAAATAACACAACTGGCACTGATAACAAAACTGTTTCCTGCCTGGTGATTATAGTTAGAGTTTGGTGAAAAACAGCACCTTTTAGACCTCACCAAGTTTTTGTCTGGATTTCCCCACATCCTGTTTAAAAATTGAGTAGCACAGACTCAGATCAAGAGAGATCTGTTATTTATTTTCACAGCATTGTTAAACCATTAATGCACTTGGGCACATGCCAGCCACAGAATGATTCATGAAGAGGCCGAGTGCATTTTAACATCATTAACTTTAACCAATTCCTGTTTGTCCCACAGTTGCTGCAGCTTGTGACAGTATCGGAAAAGCGCTGGAGAGCCCGGTCACGTGGACTCGGAGTGGACGGGTGGAACAATGACGGGGAAGAGGGATTTGAGAGTGGCGACTGCGATGATGAAGACGAGTGCGCCGGGGTGTCAGGGCTGGGGCCACCACCAAGACGCAAACGGTTACGCATCTTTTCAGGTTAGACACACGCTCATATATCAATAAACTAAATTTTACCACAACTTGCATGGTTGCAAATGAGGTGCTGCATCCACACTGATACCTTCACCTGAATAAATGTTGGGCACAAGCTATTAGGTTGTTTACGCCTCTGCCTGCTGACCATATTGGAGTTATTTACTTTAAAAAAGGTTAAGTGCATGAATAAATTTAGCTTCCTCTACAATGAGTCACAGTAACCACAGTCTAAACACATGCAGTGCGGTGTATACATGACTACTGTACACGCTGATACCAACGAGACACTATGCAGTATCACAGCCTGTCTAACTTGTCGTTCCAACATCTCCCATACGTAGGTGTTCAGCCACATTGAGATCTTGTGACTGTGAAGGCCATAACATACTTACATCATTTTCATACTCATCGAACCTGTGGATGTGAAACATAAATCAGAAACAAAGAATAATGTCAGTTGAAAGGCCAGGAAAAGAGTGAGAGGATCTTGCAGGTCTGATTTATAGACTTCTGAGCCCTGGCTGCTTAGGTCTACTACATCTCTGACAAAGTCTGAGCTCCACACTCTAAGGCTGAATCCCAAAGTCCTCCCTATGTTCTTAAGCCCTGAACCCTCAAAGACTTATGTGACGCCACCTGTAAGTGATTGACTCCAAGAATCTGCGAGGGCTGGAAATTGTGTAAATAAAAATGGGACAGCACTTTGTGACTTAGGCTATGACATCACCATGACAACACCAAAACAACACCATGGTTCTAACTATTGTGGGTTTAGAGCTTTTTATTTTAGGTTTTTTACTTTCCTCAGCCAAGACACTTCAGGGCCCGACTGGCTGATTCCCAAATAAAGTGCAAACAATTCCAGTGTACTAAAAGTTCTGACGAATGAGTAATGCCACTATCACTGCAACTCAGATGTTTGAGAAACATCATCAGGACAACTCAAAAGGTCGCATGAATGCTCTGATCCAGGCTCTTGCCTTGTAGCGCGGATGAGGGGCAATAGTCATTTACCTCATCAATTTAATATATGTTTTTGTCAAAACAGCATTGTTAAGCAAAAAATAAAATAAATATTTGATGAATGAAGTTGGTGTGTAATATAGAATGTTTATGTTTAAGTTGAAGCATTTAGCAGAAGCTTTTTCCAAAGCCACATACAATAAGAATGATTGTTTGTTTACAGTTCTCCTTATTTATTTTTCTTATCTGCGTTTTTACCTTTTTTACACTTCGAGCTAATCCCATGTTTAGCGTCACAGTCCTATGAACTGTGAGGAATTCCCTCTGACCAAGTCTGCAGAAATGCTGACTTACAAAAAGTGAGCGTAAAGGGCTCAAAATGAGGATGAGAGAGCCCTCGTGCACTTGACAATTTCACAGTGGGGCAGTCGTGAGCCCTCATTAACTTATAGGGAACACACTTCAAAGTCTGTGAGTCTGTGAGTATGGACATTGCGATTGGGCCTAACTTTCTGCAACAAAAGACAAAGCATAGCCAATCAGAGAAGACAAGAAAGTACCAACCCTAAGGCCACCACAGCAGTACCAGAAGTGAGATTTCCTCAAGTACCTGCCTCAGCTCAACCTCTTGACCTGTCCACCGTCAATCCCATAAAAAACATCAGACATGCTCTCTGAAAGCCAAACAAAGACTAAATGAAGCTACAAACTCTTGGAAGAAAAGAAACCAAACAGAAGAAGAGGGAGAAAACAGCCACGGAGCAGGAACAAGGGCGTTTGATACGTTGATACAAAGCAAACGCAGCTGAGCAAACATCCTCCTGTTGGGATGTTGTGGCAGAGATTTGGGTTTGCCGGGCAGGGACCAAGAGCAGGATCCAAGGGTTAACACAAGAATCCTGGGGGGGCCATGACTTCTAGCAGGCTGGGCCGTGAGAGTCTGATGCCCTCTCTTACACGCTCCTGTTCCTGTTAGGCCCACTGCCCAGTCTCCTCTGGTTTACGAGCTGCTGAAGGCTGACACAGCGGAAATTAAAGGTCAGTTTATAGTCTGACCTCAGTCTAAGTACCACCTCAATTTTCTCTTATCTGTTCTTTGAATTACCAAATTAGATGTTAGTGCATCTGCAGGCACATATATATACCTGTTTGCTCCTGTTTGTACAGGAGGAAGTGATGTTTGCAGACCTTGGAGAGTCCCTGCTCGTTGCCATATACATAGATAGCTGGTGATAGTCTGTGATGACCCAGTAAAGCGCTGACCTTACACAGCCACTCAGCCCATTTTGGTCAGACAGGAGGCTGAGGTTCAAAGGTCAACCTGCAGAGCATGAGACCTAATCAGCTGCCTGTCTGTCTGTGCTCTGTGGCCCTGAGACGGAGGAGCCAGATCTGATTTCACAAAGCAACGGTGCAGCATACACACATGTACTCACACAGAAGAGTGGGGTCAACTGAAGTCACAGCAGCAAGGTGCAGACAGGACAGAGGCAGCGCTGTCAACCTGCTGACCACGTCACGTCTGATCTGTCCTTACTTGTTCTTCGCACAGTTTCTGTAACCTTCTGATCACTAGTGTTACTCACACACAGATACATAGATGCACACACATATACTTCCCCTCCTGATCCATCGAACGCCAAGCCGCACATTCCGCAGAGCATTCCAGGCCAGGAGAGCTATTCCAGGACAGGGACCCCCACCCCCCCACCCCCATCCCTCCAAAGCAGCAGCCAAGCATTAGACTGGTTACAGCTTACACACCCCAGACACTGATCACCCTTTACTGTGACATTTCTGATAATGCGTCAGAATATTTTATTCTATGTTAACTGGGGCTACAAAATTTGTAAAAATAGGATTACTTTTACATAAACAGTTTACATTCCAAATCATATGAGGCAGGAAATGTTTCATTTGAAAGGTGGGGCATCTGTAGTAAATGGGTGTTTGGTTAACAACGTATCAATTCTTCATACATACCCTATCACATGTATCACATTCATAAGTGATAGAGTAAAAACACATACACATGGACAGACAATGGTGACAGTCAGATTATCAAATAATTTATCTTTAGTCACTTGCTGCACTACACTTTATGCATACTGTGTATAGCAAGCCCACCGGAGTGATAGTGTTATATGATACAATGTAATGTTAGCTAACATTAGGTCACATAACAAGCACCAAACGATACTGGTAGCAGCAACAGTTATAAGTGTATTGAATTGGAACAAGGGTGGGTTTTATTGACTGTGTTAAGAGTATGTTATTTGAGCATATAACCCCGGTACTGGCCTCTCTCCACTGGCCTCCAGTCCATTTTAGAATTGATTTTAAGCTGTTGATTTTTGTTTTTAAGGCGCTTAATGGTTTGGCACCATCCTACCTCACCGAATTAGTGCATTGGCACAAACCTACAAGGTCCCTCAGATCTTCAAGCCAGTTTCTTTTAGAGGTTCCTAGGGCCAGATATAAATGCTGGGGTGACCGTGCTTTTACTGTTGCAGCCCCCAGATTGTGGAATAGTCTACCTTTTAATGTTAGGTCAGCTACTGACCTGACTACTTTTAAATCTTTGCTTAAAACATATGTATTTGCCTTGGCTTTTAATAAATAGTAGGGTCTGATGCATTCCTTTTAATGTATTGACTATATGCCATCTGTGTGTTTGTGTTATTGTGCAGTTTTATTCTTGCACTGATCCTATTTATTTATTGTGATCTCATTCTGCCCATGTAAAATACTTTGGTCAACTGGATGTTGTTTTTAAAGTGCTATATAAATAAATTTGATTTGATTTGTTCTTTCAGAAGTTATAGTCTTGCATGAAAATTTTTATTACACAATCAAAACTCTTGATTATATACATATTAAAGTAAATGCTGCATTCCGACCAAGCAAGTCATTGAAAATAATTTTGTTTGATTGTATAATTCCGTAAGTGAGTGTACACACCGTAGTGTCTGTGTGTGTGAGTCTGTGTTTATGTGGCAGTGTATGGGTTTGTCTGTGTGTGTAATTTTTTTTTTAACCCATTAATCTGGAATCCCGACAATCCCGTCTTTTGCTCGTGATGATGGCTCACCTGTGTTCCTGTGCTTTCATGCACACCTGGCCTTAGACTGCACGGCCTCTGTGGGCAACAATGAACCTGCCAAAATCTTCACATGAACCTGCTCATAGATTTCTATCAGTGTTTCTTTATTTTCTTGTCCTCGCTTCATTGTTTTCTCTGCTAGTGATGTGAGCCATATGCTTCTAGATGAGTTTCAGCTCTTGAAGTTTTGTAAAGTTAATGACAACAATATGAAACTCAAATCCATACCCTAGTTTCAAGGCAATGTTTCTAAGGTACTATTAGTTAGTGACACAAAATGAATGATAAAAGTTTTTCCATAGGAAGTCTCCTTCTATGACAGTAGTCAACCACACGACTCTAATCACAACAAGAGTCCAACTGCTAGACTAAATAACTAGTTAAAACGGGTGTTTGAAAGTTTGGAAACATCCAGCAGCTGGACAGCCAGCAGTTAATGGACTCAACACAGAGCCCTGTTTCATGTGTTTTCTAGCTGAGCTGGATGGGCCTTTGCTCTGCGCTGCACTACCTCACCAAGCTCAGCAGGAGTGTGAATAGAGCTCTTGTTATGTTCATGTGCTCAAACATTTGGCCACTGTACACACCGCAAAAGAAAGCTGCACTTTTGGAAGCTCTTGAGAATTTTTAGCAGTGCCAAGGCTTAACAAAATATAAAGTGGAAATATTCCTGTAATGTGAAACATGCAGCTTACGGTGAGAGGCTGGGCTGGGCTCACCTTATAGGTCTGCTACAAATTTTGTATCAGGAATAAAGGAGTGAATGAAAGAAAGAAGAAGATGATGAAAGAATATGGGGAAAGAACATAAAGAGACAATGACACCTTTGATAACTCTAAAGGTTGACACACTGGAAAACCTAAACATTCTTTACTCTGTATGTGGGTCAAGTTAACAGCTGTATGCGCTGCCAGTACAAGAACCTGGCATGTTA